CGGTGTTGGACTTGGCGCTGTGCTCGCGCAACGAAAGGCAGGGTTTGATGAATATGTCGTCGCCTACGCAAGCCGTACTTTGACGAAAGCCGAGGCTAACTACTCCGTGACCGAGAAAGAGTGTTTAGCTATTATTTGGGCCCTTGGAAAATTTCGCCCCTACCTGTATGGCCACACATTCGACGTCGTCACTGACCACCACGCCCTTTGTTGGCTATTCACATTTAAAGACCCTTCCGGACGACTTGCTCGCCGGGCGCTCAAACTTCAGGAATACGACATCCGCGTTATTTACAGATCTGGTCGTAAGCACACGGACGCCGACGCCCTTTCTCGCTCCCCCATATCGGATGAAGGTGTTTTCCTCTCTTCCCTCGAGCCTGCACTTGCGTCATCCGCCTTGCGCAACATGACGGTGGAACAACGAAAGGATCCCTGGATCAGTGGCCTCATAAGCATTCTTTCTGATCCTCTCACTCCTTCGCCGTCTCGCGCTCTCCGCCGCCAGGCTAGCAACTTTTGCCTAAGGGATGATCTTCTTTATCGACGCAACTACCTTTCTGACGGTCGCAAGTGTCTCCTTGTGATACCCCGCCATCTTCGAGCTGCCATCTGCGAAGCTTTTCCCGCGGACCCACAGTGCGCCCACGCAGGCCTCTTCAAGACATACGCTAGGCTTCGACTCAGATATTATTGGCGTGGCATGTATAACTACGTGCGAAAGTTCATTCGCCCGTGTGCTCAGTGCCAACGACAAAAGTTACCTCCCGGGCAAGTCTACCCGTCACAACCTCTTCCTTGTCCTAGTCGACCTTTTGATCGCGTCGGCATTGACATTTACGGACCACTACCATCAACTCTAGCTGGCAATCGCTGGATTATTGTTGCGATAGACCATCTGACAGGCTATGCCGAAACAGCCGCGCGGCCGACTGCCACAGCCCGTGACGTTGGAACGTTTCTGTTGCAACGTTTCATTCTGCGTCATGGTGCCCTTCGCGAGCTCTTAAGTGACAGAGGTCGTGCCTTCCTTTCTGACGCCTTGAAGGCATTACTCAACGAATGCCGAATCGTGCACCGCACAAGTACAGCGTACCACCCTCAAACAAATGGCATGACGGAGCGCTTCAACCGTTTTCTTGGCAGTATGCTGTCGATGTACGTCGCCTCTGATCATTCAAATTGGAACCAAGTTCTCCCGTTCGTCACCTACGCGTATAATACTGCCGTACAAGCTACTACTGGGTTTTCGCCATACTTTCTTTTGTACGGACGAGAACCTTCAAATACAGTAGACACTATTCTTCCATATAAACCTTATGAGTCCGAAAGTACAACTCTGTCCGAAGCTGCCCGACATGCTGAAGAATGCCGCCAGCTTGCCCGCTCTTTTTCTACCGAGGACCAGTGGCAGCAGCAATCCCGCCACACTGGGGACCGTTCGGCTACAAACTTTCCACCTGGTTCATTAGTATGGCTTCGGGCACCTGCTACCGCGCCTGGCCGCTCCGCAAAACTTCTTCCCAAATACATCGGGCCATACCACGTTGTAGAGCGAACGTCACTCGTCAACTATATCGTGGAACCCATCATCCCATCCACAGACCTACGCTACCGCGGCCGCGACACTGTCCACGTCTCTCGTCTCAAGCCATATTACGACCCATTAGTCGTTTCTTCTCCCTAATTCACCAGAATGGCGTCTTTTTGTGCGGAGGGCGATTGTAGTGAAGAAGAGGAGCTTCAGCGGCATTTCTCGGCGCATCAGGGGCATCGCCATCAGCATAAGCTCGTGCTTGCTGCGCTTGGCCGGACGCTGCTGACGGCTTCGCTTTCTGCGTTCTGCGCTGCAATGAAACCCCGTTACATTATTTTGAACTGCACTATATACACTATTGAAAATATTGTAAAGATACACCCAATATATATTACCCCGTCTGCTGCATTCGTGTACCCAACCCATGCAAGGACACTTTTTATGCCTGCAAAAATGTGTCCTTCGGTATTTAGAAAAGCTTTCTCCATACCTAAATAAAATGGCAGGTATCTTTCATTAGCAAAAAATCGGCAGTATATCCGCCGAGTGAATGATGGAGAGTGGGGCGAAGCATTCGTCCGTCCATTCGTTCTTGTTTCCGTCCGTCCATGCGTCTGTCTCTGTGACCGTCCATGCGTCCATCCGCCCGTCCGTGCGTGCGTCTGTTCGTGCGTCCGTCCCTGCGTTCGTCCTTGCAGCCACCCCTACGTCCGTTCATGCATCCATCCATGCATCTGTCTGTGTGTCCGTTCGTCCATCTATTCAACACTCCATGTACCACCATCTCGCATCTTTCCATTATATATTCCCCATATAGAAGCACCGCCATCCAGCGGACATTGCAAGGACTAAACGAGAGGTGGCACACGCACACTTTCTTACGGCTTGCACTTCGGGTCTACTTCTCACCTTTAACCACCTCGAGTTCATGGTATATACTAGTTCACTGTATTCATGGCACTGTGGCCCAACGCTCGCTAAACTTTTCTAAAACCAAGGAAGATACGCCCAGCGAGTATAACGTAGCAACCTTTTCCTGTCAGATAGTGCTCAATGTACATGCCGATGGCTGCTATTGGGAAATGAGAGACAGAAGAATACGGCTTTTACTTTCTTACGGCTTGCGCTTCGTATCTACTTCCCACCTTTAACCACCTCGAGTTCATTCATGGTATATGCTAGTTCATTGTACTTATGGCACTGCGGCTCAACCAAGGAGGATTAAAGAAAAATTGCTGGAGTGGAAGCTCCTGCATTGCCTTGCCAGCAGAAGTGAAGCCAGCTTTTGCCACTGCCAAGATGGCGTAAACAAGCTCTTTTCTGATAGCACCCAGTTGAAGATCAAGTGGCTTTGATATGTTATGTAAATGCTGCGTTAGTTCAATATTAAAAGATAGTTGTTCCCGACAAAATATCATACAGAAACGAGTATGACTGACTGAATCTTCAAACAACTTTGCCTCCCATTAGAGTCTCACTAAAGAAAACTAGTAACTGTAAGACGCACTTGGAGCACTATGTGACACGAAAAAAGTTCCCACATTAAACTCGTTGGGCGTGCGAGAGAAACGCCCCGTTTTTAATCGCTGAACGGTGATGCTTTATCATGCCCCTAGTGAGATGGCCGCCACAGCCGCCATCTTGCCAGAGGAGCGGCTTCACTTTTGCGCAACCATTTCCACTCCAGCAATTTTTTTTTAATCCTCCTTGGGCTCAACGCTCGCTAAACCTTTCTAAAGCTAAGGAGGTTACACCCAGCGAGTATAACGTAGCAACCCTTTCTTGTCAGATAGTGCTCAATGTGCATGTCAATGGGTGCTAATGGGGATTGCAGCGTGCGCGTTAACTAAAAGCCGAATGCTCCTGTCTCTCAAACCCCATTAACAGCCATTGGCATGTACATTGAGCACTATTTTTTATTTTTCAACAACGCACAGAAGAAATGTCTCACCGGCACCACCTTGGAGGTCAAAATGTTATACTTGTTACATACTACAACGGCTACGATAGATGAACGGAAGCCGCTATAAAGAGCTTCGCTCCTAAAAATATTGTTAGTACATTTTAAGGAAATATTTCGTAATGTACGAGCCATTGTCAAGACTGAGGACTGGTAGTGCAAGAGACGCTTATCAGGTGAGCTCTCTCAAGCGGTGCTCATCGATTAGAGCACTGTCTGCGTCCCGCAAGAGCGCGGGAACACCCCCAAGTGCACTGCATGGAATGAGCACCGGCGTGCCAGTCACACGTGGTCCGCGTCGCACATGAACGCTGTGACAAGCAGTCGGCATTACAGGGGAAGCACGCGCACGGACAGAGGGGGATAGAAAGCGCGTCGGATGTGCTCAGGGGCTTTCTCTTTGTGGCCTTTATAGCGGCCAGTCGTGCCTGGTGTAAAGGCGCTTCTCGACGCCTGGTGTCCTTTACACCTGTAAATATGTAAATAAATTTGTGTGCCCTTTGTCATCAAGATGCCTCGCAAGGGTTCTTCCTTCACCGGCGCCTGTACCGCGCTCCTTTGTCACATCACCATATAGTGCAAAGAAAAAAACAACAACCCAAGAACCGGCATAATTATCATCAGCAGCAGTCAAACAAGTTAACAATGTTAACAAGGCGAATTTTTTAATGGTCCCATGAAATTTCGAACTCAAAAACGCCCCGTTCGATACAAAGACTCACCCGACTTCAATAAAAGTCAGACAGAAATTAGGGCCCAAGAGGGTATCAATTCTCCACAAGGCTGGTATTATGTTTGCCAGTTCCTCTGGCACTTTCACGTTGCTGAAGAAGCTGACGCAAGCGGTTAGTTGCCTCGCGTTCTGGCCGCGTGCCAAAACAGAAGAAGAAGAAGAAGTACGGCACGTAGAGGTTGCCGATGGCCTGGCTCTTGGCCTGAACACCGAGACTAAGCCATCGTCCTCGACCTCATGATGCCTGCCCGTGAGTGCCATGGCATCAGATTGCGCTCCGTGATCGTGCAAGCCACAAGACATAACAAGGCGACCTTCCGTCGACCATACGTGTGGCCCACCGGTACTTTAGGCTTAACGGCATTGAGCTCGTGACTTGTTCTCTTAAGAATGCGCAGTTGATTTGTCCCATTGCTGGCCAGAAATAGAGTTGTGGACAAGGTGTCAAAATAATGCTAAGCTGTGATCAGGAGCAGCGTTAACCTTAAATAACAATTTATTTTCAGTAATGTAATAGCGGGGGCCTAGGAAAAAGCTTTTGGTGCACCAATTATTTTCGAGCACGCTTCTGAAAACACCTTTATGTACATGTAGGTTTTATAATGTCCTACATATTCATATGCACAAGTAGGTTGTACATTGCATGCTTAACAGGGTAAAAGAGACACGAGGACCATGAAGCATCGTATTTGAATTATTCTAATGCCGACATGGATTCGATGCATATCGGTGTTTGGGGATGACATTTTGCAGTTATCTCACGTCACGATATGTCCATTCCAGAAGGGCTTGCACATCAGAGGCGAGGCCTGCCAGCGTGCCCAGCACTGGTGACCACCTGGCTTGTCTGCGCGTACATGCCAGGCACAGCGCACGGCAGTGGTCTATACCACAGATTCGCCGTGCACCGCTCCCTGGCGGACATCATCCCGGTGGCAGGATGTGAGTGCATGTGTCAAGTGACACCGCTCATTATGTGCGGCTAGGCTACCACTCGCAAATTCAGTGCCGCATCAGAGGCGTAGCCAGCAATTTATTTGCATGAGGAGGGGGCAGGAATCAACCACCCTTTACGTATATTCGTGCTTTTGTAGGCACGTGTGCGAGTATTTAGTATAGGCATTTAAACTGTAAAGTTTTTTCATAGGAGTTTGGTTACCCCGCTCTCCACCGCTAAGCCAGTGCATCGCATACTTCAACTGCAGCCCCTTTTATTCTGCAAGGATACAGACGCCATTGTTTCAATACTTTCATAAAGACCATTATCATATAGTCGCATCCCACATACATGTTACATGTTACATACAGGTATAGTTTTGATGTGTCGATTGAGGTTGATTGAGCTTCTTATTGACTGAAAGACAAGAAAAGAGCTATCCTAGAGAAATCGAATCCTCTAGTGGAAATATATTATTTTAAATTGCTACTTCATACGATTATTTGAACACTGTTCGCAATTTGAGAGGAGCGCTGCCACACTGGTCTAGTGTCTAAGGCACTCAGCTGCTGACCCGCAGGTCGTGGGATTGAATCACGGCTGCGGCGGCTGCATTTCCAATGGAGGCGGAAATGTTGAAGGCCCGTGTGCTCAGATTTGGGTGCACGTTGAAGAACCCCAGGTGGTCGAAATTTCCTGAGCCCCCCACTACGGCGTCTCTCATAATCATATGGTGGTTTTGAGACGTCAAAATTCACATATAAATCAATCAATCTTATCGTCATCGTAATTTCAGAGAAACACAAAACTCTGTAGCCACCGTAAGTTTGAACAAGCACTAGCAGTGCGTAATGCTCGGTGCATTGTGTGCGGTGTTATATGTAGTCATAAAGGTTGAACAGCGATTAACATTGGAACTGCTAATAAATCTTGGTACATTAAACTAGGAACGTTGGAGGAAAAAGAATGATTATTCCTAAGGCCAGTCATTGTGAGCGAAAGCAGGAATTACCGTTTTATCGAGAAATGCGCCTCAAGTCGGAACCGTGACATAAATTTGTGAAATTCAAATAAAAGAAAAATAAGTGTGAATGCCTGACATGAAGAAGCTTAATTTACTATCCTCAGGTACCTTCCCCTCATGATGACGGCAAGTGTTCAGGAGACGTCATAGCTTGAGGCTAAGGTGCATTGCTGAATGTCGGGGTCAGGCTGAAGGTGTATGGCTCGATGCCTTTAAGTATACTGGCGTATACGAGCAGTGTTGAAAGCGTAGCTTGGTGATCTCTAGGATCTGACTTAACTAAAACATCCGTTGTATAGGTGCGTGAAAAAAAAAAAACATTTATTGGTATTTGCTGTTGTATTACTGCCACTAGAAGAGGTCTCTTGGTTTGGTACATAGCATATGGCGGCTCAATACAAACATGCGTGTACGTGTATGTTCTTAAATGTGAAGCATTTCCTAGTGAACTTCAGCGACGTTGAGCGTATCTATCTATCTATCTATCTATCTATCTATCTATCTATCTATCTATCTATCTATCTATCTATCTATCTATCTATCTATCTATCTATCTATCTATCTATCTATCTATCTATCTGTCTATCTATCTATCTATCTATCTATCTATCTATCTATCTATCTATCTATCTATCTATCTATCTATCTATCTATCTATATATCTATCTATCTATCTATCTATCTACCTATCTATCTATCTATCTATCTATCTATCTATCTATCTATCTATCTATCTATCTATCTATCTATCCGCCAATGACTTTTAGCTCTCCTGGCCGTTTCGAGAATGGTATCGATACCAAACTTGATATGGCATGACATGACTGTATGAGGAACATATTTGGATAGTCGTAACATGAAAGTCTTGACATGTATGTCATGATTATCATGATTTACATTTCATGGTACTGAAGCTCTTGCGGTGGTTTCTTTCACATGCATTGTTGCAAAACTCGTATGGTATGGCACGATTGCATGCTGAACGCAAGCGACAGACCCCAACATGAAAATCATGGCATGTGTGTCATGTAACAACAGCATGACTGCATGCCACACCCATGATGCACTCGCGCCCGTTTCGCTAGCGTAACGTACACCAAATTTGGTATTACGGGACGTGAATAGATGACGAAGGTATAATGCTGGTGCAAACATGATACGTGAGATGCGTGTCATGTAACAACATGACTACATGCTACGCTCGTGATGCGCTCGCAGCCGTTTCGCTAGCTTTACATGTACCAAATTTCGTATTACGTGGCGCCAATAGATGACGTAGGTATGTGACTGGTGCAAACATGATAATCATGAGATGCGCGTCATGTGAGAACATGACTACAAGCCACAGTCAAGGCGCCAATACATTTCAACGTTACGTGGTGCGCGTGCTCGCCAGCGTTCATTTCGTCGCGTCACGCCGGCGTTCCCACGCAAGGCGCAGGTCCTGCCACACACTCGCAGGCGCGCGCCACGCTGCGTTGCTTTGACGCATGCGCGTTTCAGTGCGTCCGGCGTCTATCCGTCACGACAAGAGGGGGACGCAGTGTTGCCTCGGTAACCCATCGGCGCAAAATACAGCATGTTGCATTTCGCGCCAGTTCCCATCGGGCCGCGTCGACGGACGCTGGGCGCGCCTGGCGTCAGACTATAGAATGCTCGCGTTTTGCTAACGTAGCGTTGCAGTGCCCAGCGTGCGTGCGCGTCAACGCTTCATTGGAGTATGTTGGGCCTTTCATGATGCGCTCGCGGCCGTTTTGCTAGCTCCACATATACCAAATTTGGTGTTACGTTACGTCAATGGATGACGAAATAAATGACTGGTGCAAACATGATAATCTTGACACGCGTGTCATATAAGAACATGACAGCATACCACGCTCATAGCGTGCTCGCAGCCGTTTTGCCAGCTCCACATATACTAAATTTTCGGTATCACGTGACCTGAATAGATGAGGAAGGTAAACAACACATCCCAACGTGATAATCATGACATGGAAGTGATGTACGGATCATTTACCTCTACCTCGTAACGTTAAGCAGATTTTAAAGTTACATATCAACATTTCTCATTTGTGCTTCGCATATCATTGATTCCCACTGTACGTGGGATCTGCCAATTTTTTGTCTGTGCAATCGCTATGTCCACTTTACGTGTTTATTGATACCTACACCCTTACTTCACACAATGACATCACGATTGCGCCAATAGCTTCCACGAGCATTGATGATTGGCCGCTGTAACACATTGGTCTATTACCATATTTACAAACGTATAAGAGACACCCTGGATATGCTTCGCAGTTTTGGAATTCAATAAGGTGAAGAATATGTAAGTAGGTTAGTAGACTGGTAGATTTGGCTGAATGCATGGTACTTGAACAACAGCTCAAAAAAATGGGAACAAGCTAGAGCAAAAGTACGATGCATTCCAGCAATGCTGTTGCCTTTTTTTTTTTTCAGGGCGCGAGTACTGCGATGGTGGTAGGTGGGCCTACAAGTCGCCGTATTGCGGCAACGCAAGCAAGCGAAATCGAAGTCTGCGTCTCAACAACAACGAGACGCCACGGCGGGCCACCATTCCCCAGCCTTGCAAGGAACGCCGGCGCGCCATCCCTCCGGCGGTGTGCCTACCTCTGCTCCGTCCTCGCAGCCAGCGAAGCAACGCAAGTGGCGTCCGCGTCAAACTCCTCGCCTCTCTCGCGACGACTACATCGTAGTGCTGAAACCTCGCGTTCCCTGCGAGCTACGCACATTTGTCCCGGCCGATCGCGCGGGCGACGCCATCCGCAGCTACCTCGGCGACCGGACTACCACGCAAATTCAAGTGTGGCCAATCTGGGAACAGAACATCTTGGTCTGTAGCACCACCATTTTGCCTATGGCACAGCGACTCCTCGGGGACTTCCAGCTGCAAGTGGGGGATCAGCAGCTGCCCGTTCGAGGCCACGCCAAGGCACCTGGGGATACATGCAAGGGCGTCATCAATGTAAACCCTGCTGAAAGCCCGGAAAAGATAAAGTCTGAACTGTATTGGCCTCAAGGTACTATTCTTGCGGTCCGCAAACTCGGAGATTCCGCGGCGGCGGTGGTGACTTTCGAGGGCACGAAGTTACCCCGCTTCCTCTTCTACCACTGCGTGGCGACGTATATCCGCGCCTATAAGAAAACGGTCCCTGTATGCACCAAGTGCGGTACCATCGGTCATCGACCACCTCAGTGCCCTCACGCCGCTCCAACCCAGTGTGCCAAATGTGGAACCCCGCACCTGCAGGTCTCAATGCCCACGACTGCCACCCCGAGTGCCTCCTCTGCCACGGCGCCCATGAGACTGGGACCAGTGGCTGCACGGCAAAATACCGAAAATATCGGAAACGCAAGCAGCCCTCAACATCTCCTCGAGGGACCACCTCATGTTCGTCACAGCCAGACAGCAGCACAAACCTGCATCATTCGGCTCCACCACTCCACGCCGACTCTCAAGCATTCCCACCGCTCGAAGCACCGGCGGCGGTACCTCAGGTGAGCAGTTGGGCAGGGAAAGCTGCTTCTAAGCCTCTCTCACCCCCTTCTGTCGATCCTCCTTCTCCCGAACTTGCGGCCCTTCGCAAGCAAGTTGCGGCACTTCAAAAGCAAAATTCTCTTTTAACTAAACAACTCGAACTCTTAAATAAGCGACTTCAACCCCAACAACAGTGTACTGCAAGGCCATCCGGTATTGCCTCCTCTGTCCAGGCGGCTACGCCAGCTATGTCCAAGCTTAGTCCTCGCGCTAAGTCCACTCCCATTAAACCGCCGGTTCAAGCAGCCATGTGTACTCCAGCACTCGGAACCGGTGCTACATCTACTCCAGAAGCTCTTGAGGCTCCTGGGGCACCTCAGGTTCTCTTGCCCGCTAACCAAACTCTCCCTAGCGAAGAGCACACCCCGCGCGTAGAGGAACGCCTCACGCGCGTCGAAGCTTCGATTAATCACCTCCTCACCAGCTTCTCGTTCCAACGCATAGTAGTAGAGGTTACCCAGGCTATTCAAGCCTGGGCAATCACCCAGTTTCAACCCAAGGCATCGCGTTCCCGCTCCTGCTCGGTGAGCAGTGAGGGTACAGCTCCACGGCGTCGTCGTAAGGTGGCTACCACCACCCCGCCGTCGGACAATCCGGCCTCCGTGCCCCTCCCTGCCTCTGAGGATTCCGAGCGGGACATGGAGGACCAAATATAAAACCTAGGACAGTCACGATGGCTACCAATCGTACGTCCCGTTCAAACATTGCGTCTAAATTCGAGATCATACAGTGGAACCCTGGAGGCTTCGGGAACAGGCGAAAGCGTTTACATCTTTCCCTTTTCCTCAGCTCACTTGGCTCTCAGCCGGCCGTCTTGGCGCTCCAAGAATCTGGCCCTGCTCCATCCCTTTCTGGATACTGCTCCTATGTAGGCGGCACCACCACATGCGTCCTCGTGCATAAAGCTTACACGGCGATACAGATCGACCTCGATCTGGATCTTCCTTACGACTACTGCGTGATATCAGTGCTGTCTCAGCGGAGGGACCAACCATCAATACATATCTTAAACGTGTACTGTCCCCCTCGCCTTGCGAGGGCTTCGTTTGCGCATCTCTTCCATCGGGCACTGCGTATAGCGGCCCGACAACCACTGGTGATTGTCGGGGACTTTAATGCCCCCAGCCCTCACTGGGGTTACCACTACGAGAAGGCCCGGGGCAGAGAGCTCAAGGAGCTCATTTCCTCGCTGAGCCTGACGCTTCTTACCGATCCGGCACAACCCACACGTTCCGGCAACTCGGTCACGCGAGACACATGCCCTGACCTCTCCCTCACCCGTCACATCCGCGATGCTACATGAGAAAATTTAGGCGAAAACCTAGGCAGCGATCACTTTTTACTCCGCATTTCGTTCACACCGCGGCAGAAAATGCGCCAACACTGGGGCCAAGCCCGTCTCACCGATTGGACTCGGTTCAGAATGCAACCATTCCCCGCCGGCCTCTCCTCGACCGAATATGCAGCGTGGGCATCATACGCTCTTCATATGAAACAAGCAAACACTCGCACCCTTGCAACCTCTAATTTGACTCCTGCAATCGATACACACCTCCTACATCTTTGGCACGCTCGCCGCGGGCTCATAAGGCGCTGGAAACGCAACAAACTTAATCGGAAACTTCGCGCTCGCATTGAGGCGCTCACTGCAGAGGCGGCCGCATACTCCGCACAACTTTCCAATGCTAACTGGGCAGACACCTGTTCAAAGGCTGCAAACCAGATGAGCTCTAAGAGTGCGTGGCGACTCTTTAGAAGCCTTCTCGATCCCTCCACCACCAGGGGAGAAACGCAACGCCGGCTCCACCGTGTTCTGCATGCATTTCAGGGCACTACGGATGAACTCGCGCGAGAACTTTGTGACCGCTACATCTGTCGCACAATTGATCCCGCAGGCCAAGCATATACGTATTCCGGCGCCCCTAACACCGACCTCGACGCCCCATACACGCTTCTGATTTACGATTTGCACTCACGAAAATGCGACGGGGCACGGCCCCTGGACGCGACGGAATCCACAGTATCACTCCTGGCAAATCTTCCCGACCAAGCACACCTCTCGCTACTCCAGCTTATAAATTCGATATGGGACGGTTCTCCACTTCCGACGGAATGGACCACATCGGTCGTGACATTCATTCCCAAATCGGCAAAGTCCGTTAGTATTGAGGCACTGAGACCCATCTCACTTACGTCTTGCGCAGGCAAACTCATGGAAACCATGGTTCGCGAACGCCTTTCAGCCTACTTGGAGGCCAGGAGCACCTTTGCCGACACGATGTTAGGCTTTCGCCCGCATCTGTCGGCGCAGGACGTCCTGCTCCAGCTTCAACACGATATCATAGAGCCGACTACTATGCGCCATAACGATAAAAGCCGTGCTCGCTCTCGATCTCCGCGGGGCGTTCGACAACGTCAAACACAGCACTATACTCACTAACCTGTCTACCACAAACTGCGGGCAGAAGACTTTCAACTACATTCGCGCCTTTCTATCACATCGCACTGCCTTCATTCGCCTTAATTCTACCGAACACGGCCCGTACTTATTAGGCACGCGGGGTACACCTCAAGGAGCAGTCCTGTCTCCTCTGCTTTTTAACCTGGCGATGATGAACCTCCCCTCTCTTCTAAGCGAGGTCGAGGGGAATACAACACGCACTATATGCGGACGATATCACAATCTGGACCAACACCGGCTCCTTAGCGCAAATCGAAGAACGCCTGCAAAAGGCTGCCCTTCTGGTGGACACCTACGCCAGGTTCATGCGGCCTGGAGTGCTCTCCAGCTAAATCGGCTCTTCTTTCAGTCTCTCCGCTACCGCCGCCTCAAATTTTTCTTCCGTCCGGGCCCGTCCCGTCAGTGCAAAATATTCGGGTTCTTGGCCTTCACCTCACATCGTCCTTGGATCCAAAGGGCACAATAGCAGGCCTCAGACGCACCAGCGAACAGGTGAGCCGCATGATACGGCGAGTTTCTACCAAGCGCGGCGGTCTCCGCGGGTCTCAGTCCCTCCGATTGGCCCACGCGTTTGTGACCAGTCGCGTCCTCTACGCCTTGCCTTACCTTCGCCTGCGTCGTCGACACGAGCACCAGCTGGACGTCCTTCTTCGTTCAGTATACAAACGCGCTCTGGACCTACCTATTGCAACTTCCAACAGCCGATTCACGGCTCTGGGGGTACACAACACCTTTGCAGAGATGCGCAAAGCTCGTCGCGTTAACCAAATCAATCGACTGTCGCAGACGCCTTCAGGGCGCCGTCTCCTACACAGACTTGGCCTTAACCCGATATCTGACCAAGACCCTCTGCAGCCGGTACCAGAGCTCTGGCGTCAAAAGCTATGGGTGGAACCTCTACCCCGTAATATGAACCCCGACCTCCATCCTGGCCGTAGACTAGCACGCGCCGCGGCCCTTCATACGGGACACTCCGATCGTCCTGGTGTTTTCTACGTGGACGTCTCGGGTCCCTCCCCCTCGGGTCACTTCACGGCTGCCGTGATTACAGAGGGCAAACACGTAGATGGCCTCTGCTTTCGAGCAGACACAGTAACGCACGCTGAAGAGGTTGCCATAGCTTTGGCCGCCTCTCACCCTGCCTCACGCACCATCCTGACGGACTCGCGCTCGGCCTGTTCTCAGTACCTTCAGGGTTCCATTGCTGCGCTGGCGGCTAGCCTACTACAGGCAGCCTCTTGGCGCTTTAACCCTCATCCCATTCGTATAGTGTGGACCCCAGGCCACTCGGGCCTGCCCGGCAACGAGGCGGCAAATGCCGCTGCCCGCGCTTTCTCCTGTCCGGGCCGTTGCCCCTCCATGTCCCGAGACGGAATCTGGCAATACCAACCTGACGCGCTTTCGCGAAATTTTGGCTTATTACCGGGCTTCGCGCCGCCTCTACCCGGACCCCGCACGCGGTTTGGAGAAAGCGGACGAACGACTGCTACGCCGCCTGCAGACGAACACCTTTATAAGTCCGGCGGTCGCCAGGCACTTTTTGCCGGAAATCAATGGCACCTGCTCGACCTGTCATGTGCTCGCCGACACATATCACGTCGTAGCATCGTGCCCAGTTAATCCCGTCCCTTTCTCATCCCCTTTTCCTATCCCAACTAGAGAGGCTTGGGAGGAGCACCTGCTCGGCTGCTCTACCTTGGCTGCACAACGCTCCTTGGTGGAGCGCGCACGGGCAGCTTCCAGCTCCACTGGCGTCCCGGAATAGGGTCTTGCCACTCTAGCACGCCGATGGGCCACGTCGGCACTCTTTAGTAAACTTTTTCTGAAATAAATGTTTTTTACCACCATCAACGCTTCATTGGAGTATGTTAAGCCCTTGATGATGTGCTCGCGGCCGTTCTGCTAGCTCCACATATACTAAATTTGGTATTACGTGACGTGAATAGATGACGAAGGTAAACAACGCATCCAAACATGATAATCATGACCCGGAAGTTATGTGCCTCATCATTTACCTCTACCTCGTAACGTTGAGCATATTTTAAAGTGACACATCAACAATTCTCATTTGTGCTTCGCATATCATCGATTCCCACTGTACGTGGGATCTGCCAATTTTTTGTCTGTGCAATCGCTTAGTCCACTCTACGCGTTTATTGATACCTACACCCTTGCTTCACACATTGACATCACGATTGCGCCAATAGCTTCCACGAGCATCGATGATTTGCCGCTGTAACACATTGGTCTTTTGCCATAATTACAAACGTATTAGATACATCCTGGATATGCTTGGCAGTTTTGGAATTCAATAATTTGAAGAATATGTAGTAGGTTAGCAGACTGGGAAATTTGGCTGAATGCATGGTACTTGAACAACAGCTAAAAAAATGGGAACAAGCTAGAGGAAAAGTACGATGCATTCTAGCAATGCTGTTGACTTTTATTTTATTTTTTTTTGCAGGGCGCGAGTACTGCGATGGTGGTAGGTGGGCCTACAAGTCGCCGTATTGCGGAAACGTTACCAATATGGACCCCAATTTTTCAGAAAGTAAGTGTGCTCAATGGTGTCGTAATTTTCCTGTAATATAGTTTTGTTTGTTTACCGAGGTCTATAAGTGCGGCACCAGTATAGCTTTCTCGCCACCACACGGTTTGGATCGCAAGTTAGAAAAGTATAGACCTGGCCACGTAAGCTCCAATGTTTATCAGAATGTGCATTACTCTGTCAAGGCCGTGTAACGTTCAAAAGTGTAGACTGAAGTCACTATTGAGTATTGTTTATTGCGCAAAATCAACATACACCGCACATTTACCAGTTTATAATGAAATGTGTTCGCAACCACAATTACTTTTCACATACGATGAATAACCTACAAGATTGCTATCCAGTATTCTAAAGTACGTTGAAAAAAAACTTGAAAATGTTTAGAACGACTTTCGCTGACTAATATGTTTTATGAGGCCCTTGTTTCGAGGGCTGCTACTAGTAATGAATTGTGCAATCAATGTTCCATAACGTAGCAATTATTTCATAGATAGGCTCGTAGAAATAAACATCGGATGCCCCTTATTGGAGTAGGATAGTTTATTTCCCTGTAACCACGTCACCGATGGGCTCTAAGGAACTAGATATTTGCGTACTATAATGTTGGTTACGTATCGAAACAGTTCACTCTTTTCCCACTCCCCCTCCCCCGCCTCACTTCAATGCCCATAAGCGCTGTGGGTGCAATGGTAAATAAATAAATAAATAAATAGGTAAATACATGAATAAATTTAGTCCCGTTTTCTACATGGCAACTCTCCTTAATAGTGGCTTTTTGAACTCATTTCTATTGGTTTGTTAAGCTGTACCATGACACCATTCTTTAAAATGACGAGCACCTCAATGGCAACAAGAACACTGCAAAAAAATTGTTGCTGCAGTTTTATTTAATTGGCTGCAGCGAGATTTGGTGATCAATGGCGTAAGATATTCATATGTCATTGTACTGCGGTAGTTGCACTGAATGAGCACGGATGTTGAGATATAGTTGCCCTCTTTCCCCAGATCAGGACGCGTGGCCACACTTCGAGAAGGCATGCGGCAATCCTGGCCAGTCGCCCGTCAACATCAACTTCTTGCAGACCAGCTTCAAGAGCTTCGGACCCATTGCATTCCTCGGCTACAACGTGCCGTTTCGCTTCAAGGTCGAAAACGGAGGACACGCCCGTAAGTGTGTGCCGAGTGCGGGAGAAGGGATAAATTCTCGCACCGAGCACTGCAACCCTCCAAAGTATATCGATATGGAAACCTATCAACCACTGGTCTTGTCGTGGACCTATTAGTTACATTATTATTATTATTATTATTATTATTATTATTATTATTATTATTATATTATTAGTAGTAGTAGTAGTAGTAGTAGTAGTAGTAGTAGTAGTAGCAGTAGTAGTAGTAGTAGTAGTAGTAGTAGTAGTAGGAGGAGGAGGAGGAGGAGGAGGAGTAGAAGGAGGAGGAGGCTTTGCGTCTCAAAACCACGATATGATTATCAGAGACGCCATAGTGAAGGGGTCCGGAAATTTACGTTCTTCAACATGCACAGGCCTCCACAATTTCACCTTCATTGAAGTGCGAACGCCGTGGCCTGTATCGAACCTGCGACCTTCCGTTCTGCAGCTTGGCACCCTAGCCACTTATATACCAAGCCAGACTATTTCTTAATACAGTACAGCAACAAATGTATTCTACGGTGGGACCTAATGCGACTCTATAGATTCCTTGAAGATTTTGCATGCGCACGTGGCGAATTTCACTGTGCAAATTACATAGTGCGAGTTTATTTTGGCACAATTTAGAACACCTAGACAGCGGTTAGGGTCTACTATCATCATAAGTCGGCATTTTATGTATTGTCACAGTACGCAACCTGCAGGCGAAAAGTGTTACATTCATTAAATAAAAATGCGAAGTAGTGTTCTGCTTACTGTCTCTTTAGCGGGGGAGAAGTTTAAGCCAACCATTAGTTCGTGTGGAGCAGACAGGAAACAGTCACCATGACCGTTATTGGGCACGTGCTCTCTTCATCCTCTTCTTCATCTTCAGCTTGACTCGCAGATCTCGTTTGCCGATTCGTCCGGCATGGGATGCAATAAATCTGATTGGAAGAGAACAAGTACAGAGATAGAGAAGAAAACAAAAACAGAAAAAAAGAAGAAAGACCAAAAAAGGGGAAAGGACCCACAAAGAAATACAAGGAGAGAAAAAGATGAAAAAAACACGCACAAAAAGTAAACATGGATATGAAGTGAAATCGAGAATAGAGAGAGAGAGAAAGAAAGGAAAGAGAAGAGAGCTAATCAGAGAAGGAAATAAGGAAAGTGAGAAAACGACAGAAATGTAAAAGAAGACATAAAAAAGATGAAAAGAGGGATCGAAACAAAAGAAATAGTACAGAAAGAAAGGAAGAAAAAACAGGAGAAACAAGGCAGGCTGCTAAGCTCCGCTTTACTTGTATGCTGGACACCACCAGCACGAATCTCCCTTATTCTTTTTTTACAAAACGAAATGTAGTAAGTCTGTGTAATTACATTTCATTTAGTTAAACAGAACCGTGACGCTATGCCATATTGCTTACAGATTTTATGAATATTTATGCATCTTTAAACAAAGAAATACTGCCCTAAAATGGCGGTTCATCGTTATCCTCTGAATTAGCGTGACTACAGAGGTAAATATGTCGTAATCGTCGGTGTTTTGCGCCCCGAAACCATTAAATGATTGTGAGAGACGCCAAGTTTTAGATGGTTTTCAAAATTTCCACCAGCGGGGTTCTTCAACGCATACCTAAATCCGCGTTGACGGGCCTCTGGCACTTCGCCTCCCTTGCGGCCGCCGGCATTTGATCCCATGACCTGCGGGTCAGCAGTCAATCACCAAAAGTATCGAATCTTTTTGCCGATGAAAGAGTATCTGTTCAAGCTTCTTGTGCCATAGAGGACTTTCTGTAAGCCTATTAAATATTAGTTCGAATGTCTTTCTAATTCCAGGTAATTATTTGTATTGTGCTGTCTCTTTTACTACAACGCCTGTATATTCTAGTTTGATGGTTTTCATAGTGCTTAGTGGCATTTTATATATATATATATATATATATATATTTACGTGTGTAACTAACAAACTCTCTTCTCCCCTTTCCTTAAAATTCCCAACGTGTCCGTTGTAATTATAGGCAATCTGCAATAACTAAACTGTGAAGGAGAAACGCATCGTTGGCAAGCAACATCGCCTCCTCTTGGGTACTGGGTCCTGGGCTTCGCTCACTCGGCTCGTGCTGATCATCGCCGGCATCTGCTTGACCGTTGCTCTTTCACGATCGTGTTTCATCGTAGGACCACCGTCGGAACAGTCGCCAATAAACCCTTTTTCAAGGAGCCGAATTCTTCTCCTCCTTAGACTTACGATCTGGATACTGGCAGGTCCCTATGGCAGATGCTGATCGCCAGAAAACTGCGTTCATTACACCAGATGGCCTGTATGAATTTATCGTAATGCCATTTGGGCTTTGTAATGCCCCTGCCACGTTTGAACGACTCATGGACAACACACTGCGTGGAATGAAGTGGTCTGTGTGCCTATGCTACCTCGACGACATTGTCGTTTTCTCTCCCGATTTTCCTACACATCTGCTTCGGCTCCAACTGGTTCTGGCGTGTTTAACCAACGCTGGGCTACAACTGAACCTCAAAAAGTGCCGCTTCGCTGCGCGAGAGCTGTCCATCTTAGGGCACATCGGTGTTCAAGCATGGTGTTCTACCCGACCCTGCCAAAACTCCGAGTGGTCGCTGAGTTCCCGAAACCTACTACACTGAAAGAATTACGCTGTTTCATCGAACTTTGCTCGTACTTCCGGCGCTTCGTTCGAAATTTCGCCGTCGATCATGTCACCACTGACCAACCTCCTACGCGGTGACGCAGACCTTTCATCCCTGGTCTCCTGACTGAGACGTCGCGTTCGCCACGCTCCGTAGTCTGCTACATCTCCTCCCATTCTACGGCATTTCGACCCAACAGCTGCAACGGAAGTTCACGCAGACGCTAGCGGGGTTGGTCTTGGCGCTGTCCTCGCTCAGCGCAAGCCGGGCTACTCCGAATACGTCGTCGCTTATGCGAGTCGCACGCTCACTAAAGCTGAGGCCGATTACAGCGTCACTGAAAAAGAAAACTTAGCGCTAGTGTGGGCGCTTCGCAACTTCCGCGCTTATTTGTACGGTCGCCCATTCGACCTGGTAACGGACCACCATGCACTTTGTTGGCTCGCCACATTGAAAGACCCTTCTGGCCGCCTAGCTCGGTGGGCACTGCAAATCCAGGAGTACGACATTCGCGTGATCTATCGCAGCGGACGCAAGCATTCTGACGCCGCCGCCCTGTCCCGTTCGCCTTTACCTCCCGATTCGGCCTGCGGAACCACTGGTACCAACTCCGTCGCATCTCTCGACGTCGACTCGTTTGCCAGTGAACAACACAAGGACCCATGGATCGCTTCCCTTTTTGACTGTCTCTTTGGATCGTCAACCACTGCGGTATCAAGATCTCTCCGACGTCAAGCTTCTCATTTCGCCATTCGTGATCGGCTGATACACCGGCGCAACTACGCCCCTGAAGGTCGTAAGTGGCTCTTGGTTGTCCCCCGCAGCTGGCGATCACAAATATGCACCACCTTTCACGACGATCCCCAATGTGGCCATGCTGGAGTTTTCAAAACTTACGAACGCATTCGCCGTCGCTTCTACTGGCGCGGAATGTATAATTTTGTTCGAAAATTCGTTATGGGCTGCCCTGACTGTCAACGCCGCAAATCACCGCCTTTTCACTCGTCCGGTGCACTTCAACCGCTTCCGTGCCCTGCCCAACCTTTCGATCGAATCGGAATTGATCTCTATTGCCCTCTACCGACAACATCAGATAAAAATCGGTGGATCATAGTCGCTGTGGATTATTTAACACGCTACGCTGAGACCGCCGCCCTTCCAAGTGCCACTGCGTGGGACGTAGCGTCCTTCGTCCTCCATCGATTCATACTACGACATGGGGCTCCTAGAGAACTACTAAGTGACCGAGGATGAGCCTTCCTATCAGAAGTCGTCACGGCTCTGCTTTCTGAATGCCATGTTGTTCATAGCAAGACCACGGCATACCATCCGCAGACTAACGGCTCACGGAGAGTTTTAACCGCACACTCGACGATATGCTCGCGATGTATGTGACATCTGATCATACTAACTGGGATCGCATTCTTCCATACATCACGTTCGCATACAACACCGCGGCACAGTCCACCACTGGATTTTCACCTTTCTTTCTCCTTTATGGACGCGAACCATCCCACACCATCGACACTCTCCTTCCATACCGTCCTGACGCATCCGAATGCCCATCTGTGTCCGAAGCTGCCCGAAAAGCGGAAGAGTGTCGTGAACTCGCACGCACCTTTACGTCACAAGAACAGCAGAGCCAGAAAGAAAACAACGCCGGCTCTTCACGAAGCCACAGCTATTCCCCGGGATCATTTGTATGGCTGGCTGTTTCTTACCAAACCCCCGGCCTTTCCTCAAAACTAGTCCCGACGTACGAGGGTCCTTACCGTGTTTTGGAGCAAACCTCACCGGTGAATTTTCTCATTGAGGCACTTTCCCCATCTGACGACATGCGCCGGCGTGGACGTGACATCGTCCACGTCGCCCGCCTTAAGCCATATTATAGCCCTCTGCCTCCAGACTCTTAGGTCACCAGGATGGCTCTTTTTCGGTGGGCGAAAATAAATAATAAATAATAAGTAAAAGCCACTCGATCATCATAAGGGACACACAGGCCAAGTGAGTGCGTGTATTAAGCCATAGTACTAAGCGGCTGAAGCTTCTGGAGAGGTCTCGTTTGTATGGCGTACAATCACAGACAATGTTTCGCAATTATAAGCACAGATATAGCGTAAGTTTGATGTGTGCATTGAAGCAATATTTTTTTTTTCTTTTAACACAACGCAGTTTACATCACGCCAGAGCATCCGCATCTCGAGTCCTACGGTGGCCCGCTGCCCGCTCGCTACACGCTGTCCAAGGGCGTCTTCCGCTTCGGCAACGAGACGAGCCAGCGCGGCTCGGAGCACACGCTCGATGGCCGCTACTTCGACGCCGAGGTACGTCAACAGAATCTCGTGTAACCACGCAGTAGCCAGAGGGCGGGGTGGGATGGGGGGGGGGGGTGCTGCGTCGCTTTGAATTATCAGCCCAGTTTCAGTACATTAACCCACAAGGACAAGTTGAACATTAAATATCAGGAAATACACGATACCATGCTTCCAGGTAAATTTCTGACGACGTTAAGTCCTTAGCACTTCAAACTTTCGAGATTACGGGAATCTATGCTACGCGATATAAAATTTGATCTCAAGTGGAGTGTTCATCAGGTTTGTTCTGGTTTCGCTCCAACCGTTCTCTTACGTGCCAGTTGTTGAACTGCTGTCGGATTGATTGTGCGACTCGAAAACATTCATTGGCCCTTTCCGTCGCTTGAGTTTAACCGGACACATGGAGCTGTAGTGCAACCCTTTGACTTTGTTGTAATGCGTTGAGAACGCTGTAAGAGAACTTGACGACACGTGAGAAGAATCCGGTCTAGATAAGGAAGCTCTAATTCTGAATACTGTTGCTTCACGTGGGAACTAAACAATGAGCTGTGAGCCACGCGGCTTGTGTGTTTACCCCACAACTTTATAATTTTCGGTACTCAAAGCTCGTATGGTCATGGTACTGAAGTAAGGTGCACCGAGTAGTCGCAAACCAACGTTGAGCTCTTCCCAAGAGGCCACTTTTTGGGCAATGAACGGCATTACAATTCATTTTTTGTGTGTATATAATGACAAAGTCGAAAACGGTCACGCGCGCAATTTTCAAAGCTTGTAAGCATGGAAGAACGCGTGAATCGATAAAAATGAGTCACTCCTTAGAGATCAAGCGTGAACGTTGATGGTTCGTTAAGGCTTGTCAAGACTCAAGATATAAGAAATCCGTTCTAAAAACCTGCCTACAATCTTGGCGAGACGTTTCGTGGGCAGTTTGGAGCACATTCTGTCCGGTGAATATAGTAACATGTGAGGGCCACTATCCTGTTTATCTTAAGCAAATAGCTTTATTGTATGACACATCACTAGAATTCATGAAAATTGGCACGTCAAGATATAACCGCGATCAGATTTGTAACAAGCATATAGGCACACAAATATGCGTTTATCTACACCGTTTCGGTTTCCTCAGCTCCAGCTTCTGATGTCGTGCGAGAAGCCAACGCCTACCGACTGCCTTCGGCGTGACAAAGGGTTGGCCATATTCGTCATTCTCTTTCAGGTGAGAGCCCATTTTCAGCGCAACCACGCCCCACTACAGTCACAATGGCGCCATTAAGACTAAAATCTTGAACGTGAGGGGTCACTGCAGCAAAGCCGACGCCGCAGACGCTCGAAGAAAACACACCACCGGTTCGAGATGGCATGACTCTCTACACACCTGTCGGAGTGAAATCGATTCAGTGTTTCACGAAATACGCATCAAAAATGAAAATTTTTCGAAGCTGTGGTTTACGAAGTTTGCTATCAAAGCTAGGACACCGACAATATTCCCATGTTATCTGCATGCGTGCAGTCGAGTTTCTCGATTTACGCACGTAGACATTGAATATTTTTCATGGATCCGAGTGAGTGTTGCTTTTACAGCTGCATGTAGCGCATGAATGATTAACAGCACAAACCTAAACTCGTTCACACCTGTAACTAGCACCGGTTGTGTGATCAAGTTAAATCTAAGCGACTTAGCGAAAGTGTTAGCCTTGGTCGCAAAGGGACTTCTTTGGGTCAGTCACACGATTGTGGTTGCAAACATGTGAAATAATGAATTGTCCAGCATGCAGCACGTCAGCCTCTTTTACGTAATAATGACAATACAAGCAGACGTGTATCTGGCTTCACAATGGGGCATATTCTGTGCATGTATACATGCGCAGCAGGTATGGACATCGGTAACCTTGAGCCGCGCTTTGGTGACAGTCAAAAATGGACGCGCGACCAGTGCTCAACGGGACCAGTGCTTCGATGTATCTGGTGCTCAGGAATTTGGTGCGTACAATGTAGCGGTGCCTGAAAGAAGATTTGTTTGAAGACTACGTGCCTTAGAGCAAAGTGAAGCTTCCAGGGCAACACAACATTTGGCTTATCGAAACAATATCCACGCAAGGTTCTGTTCCTTATTTTGGCTTTTTCTCTATTCGGGAGCAACCGCCCAGTTCAGAACCATTCATGTACTTCAAAAAACAATTTTTTGACCGTACATGAGTAATGTTTGTTGCTGTATTCAATTTCAAATGACGCCACCATGTGCAAAAGACACTTTTTTATTCAAAACCTTTCTCTGCGACAGTGTTTCTATTACTTTTTTTTGTAAATGAAGTTTATAGCAGTCATTGCATCAGTTGCGCATCGCAGAAAGTGATTTTGCCACCTCGAACACCTCTGGTCTTTAGAAAAAGGAGGCGTCCAATCCCTTCCTGGACATACTCATCAACGCCACCGAGCACATGACCACGCGAGGCAACACGACCGAGACGTTGATTCCCATGGCCTTCCTGCTCCCGAACTCGACGTCCAACTACTACCTCTACTTGGGCTCGCTCACTTTCCCGCCGTGCACCGGCAAGGCCCTCGTGGTGGTCTTCGACAACGTCGTCTCCATTGGCGAGATGCAGGCGAGATATTATTCGCCTGCCTTTTTAGTCTCTGTTTCTCCTTAGGTACAGCCGTAACCCACCACGCGTACACGTCTAATAATTCTACCTCCCCGGTTGCCTCGATTACTCACAAACCTATAAACAACTATGTGACCATTATCATGTTTCCCTGGACCACACAAATTATGGCTGCGTTCATTGTGGTGAGTTCTACAAGTATGTGCTAGTTAAGTCTTCAAAAAGACATCAACACATCGTAAAAATGAACTTGTTTCTCACCGAACAGCGGAACCTATTAAAGCACTATTGCGACACAAGGGTCATCTCTTACCTACTCTCTGCAATGACTTCATTACTTAATTATTCACATAACTGTCATGGACTCTTCTAGCGTGCGCTTGGCGTCACCGTCATGCTTCGTATAAAGTCCAAACTTAGTAATATCGCCTCGCATATCATATGTTCTGCGTGCAAGTAAAAGCATGCAAACGCCTGGGACGAAAGTGGCTGAAGCAAAGATGTTAACAACCAGCCATCGCCGTCACACGATGGGTGCGAATCGACTACATCGTCCCACGTGCGAGGCCTTCGGTCGATGATGCCTCAAGCAGAACGAGCACTCGTTCACCGGGCATCCCGCTTAGATCCTGAGTGCATGCGACCCAAAGGCAGATATCTGCTGACATTCAAAGATATTATGACCTATTACAGGGATCAGCATCGTCAATACCCACCTCCTGCAAAGGGGCCGGGGAAGGCTAATGAACGCATCTTGCTGAGACATTTCATCAATACTTTATTGTGCCCGACAATCATGCAACATTTTGATTCCTCCTTCACCGGCAAGTGCCAATAGTGTGAGCAGGTGGCTGACACCTACCACATCGTTTGGGCTTGCCAGCTAAATTCAGCTCTTCCCCCCAACCCTAACCCTACCAAAGAGGAGTGGGAGGCGACACTGCTGGGTTGCTCGGACTTTCTTCAAGCACAAATGGCCCTAGTACAGAAGGCTAGGTTAGCAAGTGTCCCGGAATAAGGATGGAATGGGGTCCCGGAATAAGGACTTCACCCACTATAAAGCATCTAAAAAGCTGCACCTCTCCTCCTTTTTTTTCAATAAATGTTTTCTCTCACTCACTCAAGCAAGAAGAAAAGGCATCGGAGGGGGGGGGGGGGGAGTTGCTTCGCTAGAGCAGTACCTGCGACCTTTGCTCATATATGGGCGTGGTCACGAGTGCTATCTCGAGCAGGCTTCACAAGAGAGCTCGTAAACTCGCTATGCTGTCAACGCGTCACCTTTAGAGGATTCGAAGCACAAAAATCACTTTGGCCACAGGAGTAGCCGGGTTTCGTTGAACCAGAGCTTTGTTGAGCTGCGTGAAAATTGAAATATATATGAGTTAGCTGCTGATTTACTATCTATAACATTCCATTCATTGCCTCACGCTTGTGGTGAAACTGAGCTTATTTTGCCTAGACAGCTTTTGCCAATCCGCTACAGTAATGGAGAGCTTCAAAAGATATGACCGACTAATATCTAGTCCTAAAGCTAAAGCAAAATTTAACGCCTATGCTTCCTTATGCAATCTTGTATTGCAGTCTATCTCTATCCTCTTTCGACCCTTATTTTCCCACCCCTATAAAGGGTAGCAAACCAGTTTTTCAAAATTAACCTCCCTGTCACTTCCTTTTATTTTTTTCTCTTTCTTCTATGATAGCGAAGTGTGGAACGTGCAGAAAAAAAAAGAACGTGAAACTTTTGAGTTCTCTAGCTGATTCAGTGAAACATCAAGGATTCGATGAATATCAGAAAAAAGTAATCTCTTTATTATAAGAGCAGATACCTTGAAAGACCCCTGCAACACTTTTTTAGCGTGGTCCGAAAGAGCTCCTCGTCGGTAGTGGAGGCCCATTCGAACACGTGAACCAAACATCGTCGCCCGGCATGTGGCCTGTCAATTACAAATAATTCGAAAATCAGATTGAAATTGCTCTTCTTGCTCCCTCGTGCGTTGCAGTGACCTGCGTCACGCTAAGACTCGCCAAAAGTGTGAGTGCAAGCCCGCACTGGGAACAAAAAAAAAAACACGCATGCTAAAACAAAAAGAGTGCTCAATTTCATGACGCGCGCTGACGAAAGGGCGGATCCTCATAGCCCCCCTCTCCACTCCGAGGTAGCTTTCAGGGTGCTGGCTGGTACGAGAGGAAAGAGAAGACTCTTGAAGCGTGCCACAAATTCTTGCAACTAGAATCGGCAGGTCAAAACGACGAGTTATTGTAAATCAACAAGGTTACTTCGATGCAAATGTTTTCGTTGCAAAACATTTTTTTTTTCATGACGTGGCATGAAATACTATTAGCTAGATGGTACTTTGAGTGCCACGAAGAGACGCCTTGGAGAATGTTAAGAGCATGTGACTACACCACTTGTTTGAATACGTTCATAATGTCGGCAAAAGCTGGCGGTGACTCCGAGGTACTCAACAAATTTAACTTCAACATGCAGCTCAAGAAGCTAAGGAACAACCTGTACTACTACTTCGGCACTTGCAAGAATCGGGTGGCCGGCAACTTGCGCAAGCTGCAAAACCTGGGCAACCGTATCGTCTACAGATCATTCAAGTTCACCAGCGCTGCCGCCACTTCAGCGGCCACATTGAAACTGGTGTTAAGCGTAGCGACCACTGTCCATTATGTCGGCAGTGGCCGCGCTATGTAAATTGCGTGATAGTATTATTTAATTCAGCAGGAGCCTATATTAATAAGGCGAAAAATATGACTTGCTCGAAATATCGAGGCAACTTTATTACGTTAACGATATTTTTCACGAAGTTTGCGTTTATTACTTAATTTGTAGCTCGATTACGCATGAACGGTGTTGAGAACAAATAAAACACTAATCAAGATGGCTCAATGACATGCCTATGTAGCCTGTTTCAAGTACTTGTGACGCTTACGCACTCCATGCAGAATAACTATAGCTAAAACACCAGGCCATCACTAGCGACTGCCACTAGCAACTAACAGTTTAACTAACGCAGCTGAAACATTATGCCCCGCCAGATTAGTAATTCAGGTAATTTTGATGGTAAATTACAGTCTCTCTCAATTAAGTTCCTCAAATGCCAATCGGCGCTTGCCGCCAATGTGCTCTGCTGCTGACTTTTAGTAAAGCTCTATAGCGACTGGCGGCATTTGCATGGGGCCACACACCATTTCACCTCCCTAACGACTTTGTTTCGTGCGAGACATACGTGATAAACTTTTTTGTGAACATGGGACGGAGAATATTTGTTTCGACTGGTTGACTGTAAAAAGGGTAATACATAGTTATGGAACAATAGGTAATGTGATTAAAAGTCAGCGCCGTTAATCGACTGCACTGATTTTATTATTCTCTTTGCGTCAATATCACTTTATTGGTCACGGACAAGGTGGTGATTTTTCGTTCACAATTAACGACACCGACGCCGACGCAGGAGTTCCTGCGAAACTGGCTTCTTAATCCTCTTGCGTTAATAGTTCAAGGAACCAAGAAATGCTATATATGTCGCCATTTATCGCCTTAAATTGAAGGTTGCAATTATAGATGAGATGCAAACTCGTACCTTTGCATGCGCATGCGTTGTCTTCGACGGAGGTGTCCTTAAAGCTGAGAATGGTAGGAAGAACATGGTGGGAAATTTTGTTTTCGAGAGGAAGGGGTGTACGTGTTGGGGGTGTATGTGTACGTGTTGTTGTCGACATGCAATACTAACTTCGAGGAGAAATATCTCCCCCCTCCCTACATCTTCCGCAATCAACTCGGTCTCGGTTAAATCGAGGCGAGATGCCGCGCATATAGTTCATATCCTTTATTCCTTGTATTTATTACTCAGGCCTACACGATACCTTCTTCTAACATTTACGAGCATTCTTTCTTTTACTGCGTTTTTTTTAATTTCATATGCACGAGTTTTTTTTTTAATTTCCTCGTAGCTTCAATATCGGTGATTATGGGGATGCAAGTTTTTTTATGCTTGCAGCTCGGCAGCCACCACATGAATTGACACATCTTTTTACGACGCCATCGCCGTACGACCGCTTGTTTTGTTGGAGCGGAAATGACGCGAGTATATATGCCTTGAGCGTAATTATTAAACGCAGGAAGAACTCTCATTCGTGCAGGCACGACTGCCACAGCAGCAAGCGGGTTACGTGTTGCCGTAAACAACGCTCTGACGACAAAAAGGCGGGGAAAGCCATAGCCGCGAGCTATATTTCTCCGGCGCAAACGAGCTCGACTATGCAGCTCGATGTGGTGACTGCTTTTCTTCGTTTTTTCCCTACGGTTTTTTTTATCAGTGCGTTTTAATAGTGACGCCTTCCAACTGGTTCGTAATTAGGGGATACACCCAGAGGCCTGCCTGATCAAGGTCACCAGCCAACATAGTGAAACTGCGCTGGTGTTGGCGCAGTGCCTATGAGGGAATTCCTTCTGCCTCGTGACAATGTGTCAGGAAGCCAATTTTAGACTTTTTTGTTTCGTGTGTATTGGTTGGTAAACATTGCCTCCTCGAGACAATTTGCTTCTCGGAGAAAGCTTCTTCCACAGCGGAGCTTTCACTGGAGGCGCCCACATTGGATACAAGGCGTCAACGAGCTGACTTATTAGTACCATCTTCGCGAAAGCGCCGACGGAAGTTAAGTAACATGAAGTCATCAATAGTAATAGTCGTCAGCTGTGGTTTTTATTGGTAAGTGTCACGGGCTCTATTCGATATACGCGTTCGAGTGGTACTTGTTAAAGTCACGTAAAAGATATTCTCCGATGGAAAACAATTGTCGTGTAGTCACTTAGTGTGAGATGTTATAGGTTTTGGTTTATATAGGAAAAACTATATAGCCGCACGCAATCATATGCACTTTTCAAATCGACTGCGTGAATTGATGGCGTGTTAATAGCGCGAGTCAGGACGGTGTCTATGCCTCGCCATCTTTTATTCTTTCTATAAGAACTGCATTGACATCAGAGATGTTGTCAAGTATACACTATAGATTTTTACTATAAGAGGTGCCACAATCAATGCTCAGGCTTTCTGAAAGATGTTGTTTGATTCTAGAATAAGACTGGTTCACTTATGATGATGCTATCATTTTTCATGTCTCACTGAATGCGCTACTGAGGCGATGACCCCTAATGATAATGTGGGTGAAGAGGATGGTGCCTACTTGCGCGCATTGTGATCTCGCACATGCACGGTGATAATGATAGGAACAATTGTGATGTTGTTAATGATGATGACGACGACGACGACTATGATGATGATGATGATGACGATTAGATGATGATGATTACGACTATGACGATGGGGATCAACACATGCTTGCAGTTTTCAGCTCATTGCAGCCAGTTATGTAATAGTTGGTGCACGAGCAAGTGGCACTTTGCCGTATTTTGCAACTGTGTATTGCTAACGTTTACGTTAAATTTGAAATTTTACTGCTATGAGACTACTATACTCTGTAAACTTTTACAGCTCTCTATTTTTACAGTCAACTCATGACAAAACCGGTCATGAAAGCAAATATGATGTAATTGTTATTGTTTACTTCGTGAAAAATTTTGAGCCATGATTATGCTGCCCGGACACCATATATGCTCGATATGCTCAGTATTAAGCCCCGCCGCGGTGGTCTAGTAGCTAAGGTACTCGGCTGCTGACCCGCAGGTCGCGGGATCTAATCCCGGCTGCGGCGGCTGCATTTCGATGGAAGCGGAAATATTATAGGACCCGTGTGCTCAGATTTGGGTGCACGTAAAAGAACCCCAGGTGGTCGAAATTTCCGGAGCCCTCCACTACGGCGTCTTTCGTAATCATATGATGGTTTTGGGATGTTAAACCCCACAAATCAATCAATGCTCAGTATTCATGAATAAACACAAAACCTCTAAGTCGTTATGTATCCTTCGCATTGCCAGTTAGAGTACAGCGAAATAAGATTGTAATTAGATGAGTGATTTGGTTGAAACTGGAACTTTTCTCATAAAAACATGTTTGTATCAGTCATAGGAATACATTATATTGAAAGAGTGAAACTAAAAATGTTTTTTCCTTTCCGAAAATATGATTTGATTCGATTTGTAGGGGTTTAACGTCCCAAAACCACGCTATGATTATGAGAGACGCCGTAGTAGAGGGCTCCGGAAAATTTCGACCAACTGGGGTTCTTTAACGTGCACCCAAATCTGAGCACACGGGCCTTCAACATTTCTGCCTCCATCTTTCCGAAAACATCAAACACACTTTAAATATAAATGTTTTGCTTAGCATCGCATGTGTTTACATCAGCAGTGTCATTTCAGGTGAGGTACAGGTTGTTTACAAAGAAAACTGAGTTTATTTTTCCATCTACCACGTAGCTACAATGCTTAAGTTGTTGTAATGCTATTGCTGGCACGTGATAAACAGTAAATAACAGGCATGCGATGCACTTAGGTTGGTTAGATCAATTCTTCCGGAACATTAATATATAATAAGGAAACTGATTTTATTCGATGGTTATTACGCAGGTGTGTTCATTGAAGTGATGCCCTACACGTTCATTGCAGACCCTGCATGTCACCGCTTGCGCACAAAACTGGTGAGGAACATATTGTGACTGGTTAGAAATTAAGGTCTGTGTTGTTGCGTTCGCATATACAGTAATAAATTCGGACACGCCATTGTTCGGAACAACGCATTTGCTTAAATTTCAAGTGGTTCTTTGAAGTGCACTGAAATCAATGTGCAAGAGAGTATTTTGTATTCAACACTAATCAAAATGCGGCATCACCAACCCCACAACTTCATATGCAGCAAGGTAAAGTTTTTTATCATTGTGTTCTCAGAATTGTCATGGTGCATTATTGCGTAATACATATAATTACTGTTAAACATACCTTCAACGTATCATGAAACAAATATTTTGGTGCTGGTTAGTCGGGCATAGTTTACTTAGAATAATTTACTGACACAAGAATAAATAACACGAACGTGATTGACGCTTTATTCTTTGCGCTATTATGTCCCAACTATAGTTACTTTGAACTTACCTTGAGAGCTCAGACAAATAATAAAAATTTTACGCATGAAGCATCTTAACAAGACAGAACTTTCTCTGTGCATTTTCTTTGTTTTTCTTCTTGTTGGAGCAGAGCTCATTCGTACATTAGGCGTTATAAACACCGCATCAGAACAGACGTCCAGTGTTAAAGACAGTAATGTAAGCAAATTTCATGTTGCGTCATTCTGTTACGTAAACCCACAAATGCATCATTTGTGAACCAAATTCATGCTTCTTAATTGCATATGTAATACACCTATATCTGTGTTGATTTGACCAGCTAAAAATCATTGTCCTAATCAGGAATAGCTTATGTTCGTAAGTTGTATTTGCCACAGGCTAGCCGGTTTCGAAAATACTTTGTTCAAATCGAAGGTCAGGTGATCACCTGTAGGACTAGACTTTAAATATGAGCCTCTCTAGAGAGTTATTCCTGATGCATTCAAGCAAACCGACATTTGTTTAATGATGTAAGATTTTCTAGTTGCCAATACCTGTCGATGCTTAGACCATAAGTTATTCTTCGAATTGTGATTTTTCGCTACGTCCCCTCCATCGAAGTGTTCGAATAATTGTTTGATGTAACACGAAGGATGGAAAGTGCGATTCGATCAACCTGTTAATTTAGCAAGT